GGCGGTGCCGGCGTCCCAGCCCGGGCGCGGGTTCTCCGCGTTCTCCGAGAGCGGGCGGGCGCGCGGCGCAGTCCGGGACCGCGGTGCTCGGCCGGGAATCGCGGAGGAGACCGTGGGAAACCCAAGGAGGCGCCTGCGGAGCAGCCGGGCTGCGGTCTGCGCGCCCGGGGAAGGTGTGCAGGGGGCGCCTGGCAACCTCAGGCTTGAGTGAGCCGGGGGCACTTGCACGGGGCGCCTCCGGACGCCTCGACAGATACCTTTCTTTTTCCTGGGAGGGAATAAAAGGCATTTTAAAAATGCCTGGAGCATTATAAGATGTACACGCTTCGACACTTAAGAACCCTGGTGTTTTCTTGTCCACGTTTTAACCGTGTGTAACTGAACATGTCGGTGTTTAGTCCGATCTTTGTCAGACGGAGCCCTTGCCTTCCATCCAGACCCTTCATTAAAGGAGAAAATCCATGGGTGGTACTTAGGAGGCACATGGTACTTTGAGGAGCCTCTTGAAGGATTTTTTTTAAAAGCAGGATCAGGTGGCCCTGTGTGTCGGGATGGCTCCTGCTTCCCGTTGAAATGTTAATTCCATTGTTGGATGCCACAGCTGTGTGAGCCTTACTCCTGGGACCACATTCTATTAGCAAGTCTAATCTTCACTCCGAGGCCAGAGCGCTCCCTCCATCTTTTTTTGATACATATCATTCAGGTTTGGCTGAAATTTCTGAAGTCAATCTTCTGGAAAACACGAAGGGCCACATAACCTCTTTACGTGGTACACTCCCTCCTTTGTTTTGTAGAGGCTTAAACTCTAGTTGAACTTGAGAACATAAGGGTGTCTTCGCTGGAAAAAAAAATGTTTTACACCACATTTAAAGGAGAAAAGTGGAAGAACAAAAAACCACGTAGAAGAAGTGTGTGTGTGTGTGTGTGTGTGTGTAGGGGTGGGCCTTCAGATGCTCTGATTTTTTTTTCCCCTGAGGTACCTCACTTTGATAGGCTCAGTTTTAGGGATTTTTAGTACATACAGTCGTTCTGCTCACAGAGTGCACATTAGGATGTAGTGAACATCTCATTAAAGGGCTAATGTCTTCAGATAAATAAAGCAACACCTTCCCCCCAATTTTTCATCTTAAACTATTCAGAAACTGGAGTTCATTGTGGCTTTGAATATTTCTTTAATTATTTGTTTCCTTTTTTTTTTTTTTTTTTTGTTGGTCTTTTACAGACAGGGTCTCGCTATGCAGTTCAGGATGGCCTTGAGCTCACTTTGTAGTCCAGGCTGGCCTCGAACTTGCGGAGATCCTGCCTCAGACTCCAGAGCGCTACAACTACAGGCGTGTGCCACCACGCCTGGCTTGTCTCTATAGATTAAAGAGTTTTGTAGTATACTGTGGTTGTTGATGGGACTTCTGTGATGCATTTTATTGCCCATGTAATAGCAAGTCACACTGTTAGTAAGAATAGTAGCAGCGATAATAGAGCAGTGGCTGTAGCAATGGTAGTAAAATTAAACCCTTGACTGAATAGTTATTAAATGCCCTACACTTTTCTAAGGGCTTTACATACATTCACTGAGTTTGTCGACCAACCCTTCAGGATACTTATTATTCCATTTGTACACGTAGAGAAACTGAGGCACAGAGTAGCTGTGTAACTTGCCAGGGTCACAGATTTCCTCTTCAGTCTGCTTTTATCAATATCCTATTTGACCTCTGAAGCAGCCATTTCCCTCTTTGATTACCTCTAATTGACATTCTAATTTCTGCCACTGATCATGTCATTTTATTAGGACCCTGCTATTGGATTGACTTTGTGCCAAGAATCAGAGGCTTTTCTCCCATCCAAGTACTAACCAGGCCCGACCCTACTTAGCTCCCATTCGGAGATCAGACGAGATCGGGTGCGTCAGGGTGGTATGGCCGTAGACCAGAGGCTTTTCTTACTAGGTTTTTAGTTTTGTGATCTTAGTTGAAAACTTTGAGGAACTGTGAGAAGTCTAGGATTCCCAGGGCTGAGACTGGTGTTGGAGGCTAATGTCCATGTATCACAGCATTTACATTACACGCTTTGAAGAGGAGGCTGCTGGTTTGGACATTACCACTTGAGTGAAATTTTGCAAAGTCTATTCTGCCAATCACGTGTTATCCTCTTAGTGGCAAAGCCACTGTCCTCTCTTGTGCCTCAGTTGCTTTACATGTCAGGGGTGTGGGTACTGGTGAGGAGGTCGGGGAGATGTTGGTCAAAAGATACTTATTTCAGTTAAAGGGGAGGAATAATTTCAAGAGATCTGTTCAGCATGCTGGTTACAGTTAATAACAGTGTATTGTATTCACGAAAATGGCTAATGGTAGATTTCACATCTTGCCACACCGAAAAAATAAGTATGACATATTCATTAATTAGCTTGATAGTCATTCCACAGTGCTTTACTCTGGTCTTGCTGTTCTGTTTTACTTCCCTGCTTCAATTGCCAAAGGTAGTGATAACCCATGTGCCAGATTTATCTCTTTGGAGCTCCTTGACATCTAGTTTGGTTCTTTCCAACCTTGTTGACCTACCTTTCACTGCCTTCTAAAGTAGGTCCCTTAAATGTCAGCTTTCCCATGCTTTGGCTCATAGTTCTCTTCTCAGGGTGCATCTTAACCCTGGTGATTTCATCTGCCCCTGGCTGTAACCTCCAAGTAGTTGCTACTAAATGAAAAGTATTTTTAGCTCAGTTGATTTCTCTGGATTCTCGACCGTTATTTTCAACTGTTTCACAGTCTCCTTCCACTTCAGTGCCTCAGATTAAGTCCCCAAGTGAAATCATGCAATGAGTAAGTGACCTAATCGTTCAGATATTTCTGGCATACTATGTACTGTGCCCCCTGCAAAGTAATCCTACAACAGTGTATGGTGCTTCAGGTTGCAGAAGGTGTAGAATATTCCAAGCAGATGGTACAGTTTTTGCAAAGACTTGGATATCCGAAGGGTATGATGTGTCTTGGGAGTTGAGAAGTTCCATGCATATAAAGCATCTTCACCAATACTGCTTTGACTTTGCAGGTACTTCTGAGTCATTCTTATAAGAAGGCCTAGGGCGGGGCCTAAGTTTTTTCTTTTAATAGACTGCGCATGATGTCATTGCTAACTTCATTTCAAGTGACAGTGATCTAAAGGCCATGCTGACAGTTTTACAGGTGATCAGAAGTTGGTCAAGTACCCCCTCCCCCCAAAAAAAAAGAATAGTAAGTCTTGGAGGTGTTGAAGGTGTGAACTTACGTACTAAGATTCAGTCTCTGGAATGGTAATCACGCAGTAGTTCTGAAGGCAGGCGGAACCAGTACTTGTACCACAGGCGTCTGTCTGGGTTGATCTGGAATTAAGCCATCCCTCTGGAACAGCAGAGTGTTGTTGGGCATCTTCATTGGTGTGGAAAGCTCTTCTGAGCAACCTGCGGTTGAACCTGATGTCTGGTAAGAAAACTTTGGGGAGAGGCGTTAAGATTTCTGGCTTGATTATATGGTGAGGACTGGTAGCACTGAGGCGCCTAGGAAGACTAGAGGTAAAAATGTACCTAGAAGGAAGATCTAAACATAGGGACCGTGGAAGGATTGGAAGTGTAGCATTGAAAATTCATGGACGATAGATTTCAGTACCTAAGACTAAGCAGGCAGAGCAGTAGAGCTGAGGCAGAGGTTGAAACCTGAGGCAGGAGAAACAGCCTGTGCTAAGTAGACAGGATGAACCTGGGAGTGGGGAGGAGTGGTGGGGAATAGAGAGCTAGAGGGGGAGAGTATCCCAGAGCCTGGTGAGAAGCGAGACCAGCCTTAACCCGAGGAGACTACTGAGCAAGCCAGGTGGTTATGGATTCCAGAGAGGGCCGTCTCTGCAGTGGTGAGAGTAAAGCTAGATTTCGGTAGGTTCAGTGGGCGTCCGGTTAGGGGAGAACGAGAACTGTGCTTTGTACTTGTGCATGATTTGGCAGTGAGCTGTTGTTGAGGTGGGTGTAATTCCAGAGGCTAGGACCCCATGGAAGTGTGGACATAGAAGCCAGCAGATGAGGACTCTCCGCTTCTCCAGACCTAGCCCCTGGTTCACATCATCATTCTTCTCTGTAACTGTCCTCCTTCACATTCATTCCTCAGCTTTTGGGCTTTCCAGGGGCATCCCTCTGCTGTCCTGTCTCATGCATACCTGGATTCCATAAACTTGGACCTTATTTATCCTCTTTGTATCTCCTCAGTCCTGTACCCTTGCTGCATTGTTTCTCTCTCTCTGCTTTTGTTGTCTTAACTAGATCTCTTGAAGGAGTTGCCTGCATTTATCGAATCCATTGTTTCTCTTCCTGTCTCTAATTCTTCCATCCTTTGAAATCTAGTTTTTACCTCTTTTGTTCCTGTGAAACTAGTTGTTGTAGACTGCAGGCACCACCGTGGCTGCCGCCAGTGGTCATGTCACACTGTCAGCCTCTTTAACCTCTCAGCACGAACTGTTCTTTTAAGCAGTCTCTTTTCCCGCCTTCGTTTTCCTTTGTGTATTCACTTTTGTACCGTAAATGCTGGTGTTCCTCTGCTGATGGTTCAGTAGACATTTTTGTGCTTACAACCTCCAGTTGCTGTCCCTCTCTCTCCCCAACCATGACGTGTCATATGAAACCACCCACTTCACATCTGTATATAGATTTCCCATGAGCATCTCTAACTGAACCTGTTTACACACTGGCCTCTCTAACTTGACGTTTTCAGCCTAATACTCGTACTTGCTCACATTCAGATATGACCTATTCCCTTCCAGCCGCTGCCTCTAATCCGGGTTATCCCACATCTTATAAGCCTGTTGCGATGTCTTCAGAATTGGCCTCTAGTGTAGTGAACTTCCTTTCTGTGCTTTAGGCATATGCCTGCAGTGTAGCATACCTTCACACTTCCCCAGCACACCTTTGTTTAATTGCTTTCTCTCACCAGACTACATTTCCTGAGGTGGGGAACAGTTTACATCTCACCCACCCCCAGCATATGGCGCTGTGAGTGTTCACTGAGTAAACAAAGAAAGGTGTGGAAGATGCACGTCTGTGTTTAGCTCGGGAAGAATCTGGAAAGGACACTTGAAGATCAAGCATAGGTGCGGGTTGGAGGATGTGGACAAGGCTGGGCTCCGTGTCGGCCTTGTAAAGTGTGTCAGCTTTGCCAGCCATTCAGGAGTGGAGTGAATTCACCTCAGCACCCCACCCTCAGACGTAATCTCCTGTTTGTAGCGGGCTCTCTTCCCTCCTGTGTTTCCCCATTTCCTCTATCACACACAGGTCTTTATTGGGTGACAATTCTTTCTGTAATTAAATGTGGGAAATAATTGAGGCTGGAAAGTTTGAACTGGGTTGGTTTCGTGGCCAGCAAGTGGTGAGGGTCACTTTAAAATAATTATTAAGAACTTGGAAAGCAGTTCAGCGTCTAACCAAAGCGACCATAGTTTACTGTCTTTCATCTGGCTTGTATTTTTGAGGATAAGGAACCAAGGAATCTGTCTAATACTTGGTTGTGCGGTTAGATCATCTGCTATCGGCTGTGTTCAGTAGAAGTGGGGAGTAAAGCGGAGCCCTAACCCCTCTGAGCCCCTTTGATTCCTGCTTTGTATGTAATCCCTTGAGCGGGTGGTGTGAGGGGTATGGAAAAGGGGTGCCGAAGGGTCCATTCAGGAAGTTGGACGTGAGTTTGTTCATAGTTTGCATTGGTGATCTTCTGAGTTCTGTTATTCCTGTTTCTTTATAAGTTGTTCCCTGTTTCCAATCCATTACTTGCTCCACGTAGAAGGACATATGAATAAAGCAAAAAAATGTTTCTGCATTAGGTGGCAAAATGGCCGCTTTTTGGCCCTGGTGGTTTAGTAAGGTTTTATCTCTGCTCTGCTTTTCCACTTGTCTTTTCTGTAGCTCCCTCTGTCACCTCATTGTCTCGCCCATTGTGGTGAGGAGTAAGGAGTTAGCCAAGTCGAGTTTGTGCCTTAAAAAAGGAAAGATCGTGCCTTAAGGGTCTCAACTGGAGTCAACAGTATTTGCAATTTATTTTAATTGGTGGAGTGCTTATGGAAGAAGAAAAGACTGTTTCTTGCTCTGTTGACAAAGGAAAGGTGGGGAAAAAGAGGGAAATGGTAACAGCAGTCTATTTTTAGAGTAGACTTGATCAGTTTGTCCTTTGGTATTTGGTGTAGTTAAATAAACTATACCATGTGCTTATTGAGAAAATGCAGATTTCCTTGGAAACTTTTAAATCATCCTAATACTTTCTAGTACGGTTTACAATTTGGGGTGAGAATGATTTTGATTTCATTTACTTATCTTAGGATAAGATAAGTATCTTACTTTTGTTTTTTGAGGGAGAGTCTCATTATGTGGTGCAGCCTGGCCTTGAACTCACTTACGTGGTGTAAGCTGCCCTCAACTCCTGCCTCAGCCTCTGAGTGCTGGGAGTGCAGGTGTGCGCCACCATGCCCGGCTTGCCCCCCCCCCCTTCATGTTTACTTTCACACCTTCCTGTAGTGGGTGTGTTTTCCCTGTGAGTTTTACAGGTTTATGTGAAGGTAGGTTTACCTATGTAGATAAAGTTCTTAGAAGGAATCCCAAGAGCATTGGGCTATATCTAATCACATGTTTTGTGCTTTATCTTCGTTAAATCCTTTGAGTCACTATCACTGACTGTCCTCAGTCTTAAGAGTTTTTTGTTTTGTTTGGTGTCAGGCATTGAACTCAGGACCTTGCGCTTGCCAGGCAGGTGCTATAGTCTTGGGAGTTTTAAGTGTAGAAATACCAAACAGTTACCACAAGGGGCTTCTCTAATAGACCAGACAGAAATTTGGGGCTTTGTTTTGTTTCAGAAGACTCTTTAGACTGTGTACAATGTGAAATCTGATACTTGTAGAACTGAAGTGATTTTTTTGTTTTGTTTTGTTTTGTTTTGCTTTTGTCTTTTTGAAATAGCATCTCCCTATGCAGTTCAGGCTGGGCTTGAGCTCACTTTGTAGCCAGGCGGGTCTTGAACTCGCATGGATCCTTCTGCCTCAGCCTATTGAGTGCTGGGACTACAGTTGTGTGCTACCACGCCTGGCTTTAGAACTGAAGTGTTAAATCTCATCTAGAAAAATGAGCGTGCATGTTTTAGTTACTTTTCTCTCCTTGCTGAGACAAAATACCTGACACCCAGAGGTAAAGGAGGGAAGGTTTATTTAGCTCACATCTCATGAATCCACTTTCTTAACAAGTTTCAGGTAGGAAAGACACATCCTGTTACTTTCACGTATAGGAATCAAGTTATAAAGTCAAAAACCAAGTCCGGCAGACTGTGGTATGAGTGTAGAAACAGTGCTACCCAGGAGAAATAGAATGCAGGGCATATGTAATTCAACTTTTTCTAGCAGCCACATTAAAAGCCCCAAAGAATAGGTGCAGTTCGTTTGAATATATTTTGTTAAACCCAATTTATACAGAATGCATGTTTCCATTTGTGGTCAAATGAAAAATACTGAGGTACTTAAAAAATTTTTTTGAAGGTCAGTTTTCACAGTCACTTCTCTGGGGCTGACAGCTGCCATATTGGCCAGCACCGTTGGAGCTTTGGTTCCAAGAACATGTTTAGTCCTGGAACATATAATGTGGGAAAATGTTGCACCCACGTGTGCTGTCGTGACAACTTATCACATGGAACATGACTTCAGGATTGTTCTCAGGAGATCTGTACTTCTGAATGTTGTCACATTGTATTTCCTGTTGGCAGCGAGAAGGCCCTTGTTTTTTGGAACATCCGAGCATTGTTTGTACACAAAAGTGTGTTGTTTGTGCTTGCTTGATATGAGCATTCACATTTAAAGTACATATGTATAAGGCAGAAAAACATAAATGCACAAAAATTGTATTTTTAACTATCTGTTCAGGGAAGTGAATGCATTTATAGAGAGTTGCAAAGTAAGTAGGCTAGAATGGTAATAGTTGCTGAGGGGACATTTGAATTCATTTTGGAATATTAGAATGGAATTTATGCTATGATGGAAGCAGTAAATTTAGACATGCTTACAACAGCAATGATTTTCTT